AGAGCGTGACATTTACATGCAGTGGAGCGTCACCCTGCCATAAAGAAGGAGCGCCTTGACACCGTAACACCCCACCAAAAAAATCAGACACAGAAGGATCAAGATTGCATGAGCTCCTTAGAAACCCAAACTCTAGATAATTTAAAGAACAAACTAGCATGTAGATGATAGGAAACAGACCTTGTGGGGAGGGGCGGGGGGACCTGAGGGTGGGGAGAGATGACAGGGAGGGGACAGAGGGGGAAGTCAAAGGATCAAGATGTGACAGGTACACGTTCCAAATCTCCACACAAATGTATCCACCATGTCAAATACACTAATAACTAAAAGGAGGGTTGCACTGGGAGCTCTTTGGGGAGTCACCCTTGAGGGGACTGTGAAGCCCCCATCCCTCCCTCCACTTTTACTTCCCGGCTTGAAGGTGAGGACGGTAGGTTCCAGCCCAGGTACAAACTACTAAATTATTACGGCCCTGATCCGCCATGGCTGAATCCCCAGAACAGCAGAAACACCTCCTCCTTCACCCCCAGCCCTCAGTGCAACCTCCTTCTACCTTTCCTGCACCACAAGGGAGCCCCAAGCCGCTCCTTAGATTCACTGAACCTGCCCCTCAAACTCCACCCTAGCAAAAGCCCCTAAAATCTCACCCTTCCTCTGTCTCAGGGCAGAGGATTCCCCCATCTCCTTCCAATCCTCTCAGGGTCCTCAGAGTTAGTAAAGCATCCTTTTACTTCCACTTCTCTGCTGCATCAGAAAAACCTAACAGAGGGGCTTTGACTGGCCCCACGTTGCCAGCATGGCACGCCACCTCACCACAGACCCCAAGCACAGAGGCCTCGGCCACAAGGAGCTTCTAAATGGTGACACCAACTGCACCTTTTCTCCTTAGCTCTCATGCTTGTTATAAAGACAGAAAGCCAGCTCCACCACCCTATGGAGACGCGCCCTAAGACCCGTGGACGTGCTGGGCGGGTGACGCACACCTAGTCCTGGCTCTCGGGAAGCTGAGGCACGAGGATCGCTGTGAACTGGAGACCAGCTTGAGCTACATGGCAAGACTTGATCACCCAAAAAAGTCAAGGCCAAAAGTGAAACAGTTTAAAAAGTCAGACTGACATTAGTGGGTGTTAAGTTTTCCTGCACAGCAGAGAAGCGGAAGTCAAAGAGAGCGGGGGCAGGGGTCTTACTGATTTTGAGGACACAGAGAGTATCACAGGAAGATGGGAGGGGTCCTCCAACCTGAGGCAAAGGGGTCTGGGTTGTGTGGATTTTTGGTCAGGGTGGTTTGAGGGGCTCAGATGTGGACCTACCGCTCCCCCTCTAAGCGTTCAAGTGCTGACATGGTACAGCACAGGTCTGGAGGGACCCGACCTTGCACCAGGTGCTCACCTAACTCATACTATCCCTTAGTTATTGAGGACTGCTCAGGCCCCGAGCGTAGCGAACTCGGAGGGCTTAAATGAGTCAAGTGGTGTGATTTAAGGGCTCCAGGAGGATCCTACCCTTTATCAGAATTCGAGATCTCTGGGGGCTAAGACCAAGATCTTCTCTGGGTGGCCCACATTTATTTAGTAATCACAAGGGAGGGGAATATTGAGGAAAGGCAGGAACTGCTCAAGGGCTTCTCCATGTAAGGCCTAATGTTAACTTAGGAGAGTTAGGTGGGCTCCAGGAAGGCCTCCACCCAGGAGAGATGCCGGAGGCCTCGTCTTTATCTAGCTGAGTTTCGAGCCAGGTTTCCCTAGCTATGGGTTGTCTGGTCCTTTGAGGTGTTCAGGCTTCAACCCCCACTACAGGCCTTAGCAGGGATCAGTGACTCAGAGAGGTTCATTTGCTACGTGTCCACTGCCCGTCTCCAGACGAGGTCTAGGCCTCAGACACACTCACAGGTACACATGCGAAGCCAGTTGGTTAACCTAAGTCCTGCTCAGAGCCACGTCCTGAGGCTGTTGGCACCTGCTGCTTCCCCAGGGGAGCAAGAAGTGGGCTAAGCTGTCCGGGTCAGTCGCTGGCTGGATCAGTCACATACCCAGGAGCTGCCACCAGAACCCAGGAGCTGCGCTTAGCTACTGCCCCAGGCCACCAAGCTGGTGGGCAGGGACCATCTACCACTGCTGTGTTACTCAGAGAATAAAGGTACACATTTTGAGAACAGAGAGGATGGATGTGCGGGCCACCACGAAGGATCCCTCAGTGAAGACAAGGAAAAGATACTCATTCTTGACTAGAGCAGAAAGAGGGCAAGCTGAGTCAGGGAGGCCAGGCGCGGCTCTTCCGGGTAGGGGGCAAGTTCATTGTGCCCCTAAAGAGAAGTCTGGGGAGCCAGGAGTCACAGGACCATGAACACAAGGGCGATCGTGGAGGCCCCTCTGGCCACAGCGGGGGCCTTGAAGTGAGTTCACCAGGACCAAGGGCTCGGGCCCAGGCCTGCAGGCTCAAGGCCACACTGCTCAAGGCCAGTGGCTGCTCAGGACGAAAGGCAGGAAGGCCACTTCATATGATGACCTCGACCACTCTGACTGTCTCCACGTGTGGGACCTTAGGGCAGGTCTTGCCTCATCATTCCCACACTGTCCCCAAGTTCGCTGTACCCCAGGGCTTTACATTTGCCAAGTACTTCCCCTGCGGAATATTAAACTTGCGTTTTTAACTTTTAGGGAAAAACTCAGCCATACTGCCTCAGCACCAGGGGCCCTTCTTCAAGGTGACACTTCGCCCCATATCACGGTGAGCTACTCAGGGACTGTACCCAGGGTTCCCTCAAGCTGGTTGTTGGGATTTGCATTACCCCAGGAAACCTGCAGGCCCCAGATCTGCATAGGTGAATTCACTAGGGCTGGTAAAAACAAACTCATCGTGGAAAAGCTGCCTTGGAGAGCACAGGGTTGTAATTCCAGCACTCAGGAGGCCCAGGCAGGAGGATCACAAGCTTGAGGCCAGCCTGGCCTAGGTTGCAAGTTCAAAGCCAGCCTGGACTACATAAAAAATAAGTTACCCTGGCAAGGGGTGTAGCTCAGTGACAGTGTACTGAGCATGTGTGAAGGCTTGCGTTAAAGCCCCAGCACCAAAGAGTCACCTTTCGTGCTAAAAGAGCCCCAAAGCTTCAAGTGACGAACATTTACTAATCCAACATGCTTGAAATCATCAAAATACTTGATCTTCTAAAATAACATCAGCTATTTCTAAACGGTCTAATAACATGAGTTGAACTCACAGTAGTCCTCTTGTCTCAGCCTCCCCCGCACTGGGAGGTGTGCACCACCATGCCTGGATTTTGTGGCTAGCGGTATGCCCAGGGGACGTTACAGCATGCGGTACCAGAGATCAAACCCAGGTCCTTGTGCTTGCCACGCAGGCACTTTGACCGCCAAGCTATCTCCCCAGCCCCCAATAACATGAGTTGGAAGCTGTGACAATAACCCAAATCAATCACAACGACACAAGCCTAAAAACCACCCCAGAGGGCAACAAGTGATTCTGCCATCCCTACAAGGAACCAAGCTCCCACATGCAGGCTATCAAAATTACTCAGAACACCTTGATAGCATCTCCATATTTTCCACTTGATAACATGTTAAGCATAAGGAAAAAATTATCAATTAATATCTGGAAAGAATCTTACACTTCCCGTAGAGCCGAGTTTTCTTAACTTTGAAGTTCTCCAGGGACTTTGGTATCAGGCTCCTGATTGATGGGCGCAGGAGCTGAACTGTTTATTGGAGGCTTTCTCCTCACCTTAATATTCAGGAGATTTCTTAGGTCGAGGTTTCCCTGCTTCTAAATTTGTCATTTCGCATTCTCCACAGACCCCTAAGGGAACACAGGCACATTCCTGTACCCAAGTCTCAGGACAGAGAGGCATTGAGGGCCTCAGGAAAAAGCCAGAAGCAGCAACCAGGGATGAAAGGTCAACTCTGCAGTTTGACCTGCAGCCTGGTAGCCAGGCCGAGGCAGCAAATGACGTTACTGGTGTTCTTTCCAAAACACAAGGTCACCACCCCCCAGGCTGGATCATGAGCACATGCCCTCTCCGGAGCCCCTCGTCGCTCAGGGATCACAAGGTTCGTGTGGGTTCTAATCTCCTCCAAGATTCCAAGCCAAGCTTACAGCCACCCAAAGGGAAGCTACAGTTCATGTCAAGAAAAACCTCCTCCTGGGAGTAATCTGCTTTTTTCTGCCCTGCAGCTGAGGGTCTGGAGGCTGGAGGAGAGGGTGGCAGTCCTATGCCGTGGCCCAACGGTCTCCAGTGCAGCAGGGGTGGACCACAGCTGGAATCCCACCAGCTCTGGGCAGGGTGGCAGCAGCAGCAGTGACCCACGAGGACCAGAAAATCCTGTGTGCAGGACCATCCCACCATGACCAACCCACCAAAAGGAGTGTTTCCGGGGCCGACCTCCCAAGGGGAGCTCACGCCAACTGAGTATCGGACAGAGAACAGGCCGGAGACCCAGCTGGGGGGCACCCATTCGCCCCAGGAAGGAAATGCACCCCTCCTTCCACCTGTAACGATGCCCCTCTAAGGGGTACTGCCTAGGCTGGTACGAGCACAGGCTTCCCGTGGAGCCCCCCACCCCACCCCATCACTGTGAAGCCCCTGCTCCTTTACCCGAATCTCGGGACAGAGGAGCACTGAGAGAATTTCATCACAACACCGTGTACCAGGGGAGCCTCGGCCAGGACTCCAAGTCACTTATGGCATCAGTTTTTGAGAAGGAAAACACCCATTAGATGCCATCTCCTGGTGGACCACAGAGGCACTTCCCCATCTAACTGTGGCATATCTCCGAGACAGGCAGCAGGCCACCTCCCCGGTTCTGGCCCCCTCCATGTCCTTCCGGTCACCTGCCTCCCTACAGAGGCTGCAGTGCTGCCAGAGCCCACTCCTGCAGCAGCACTGTCACCAGCAGGCCTGAGCACCAACGCCGGCTGCTCACCACAGAGGCCCAGGCCTGGGAATCCCACAGGTGTGCACCTTCTGGATGAATAACTCACATGCGTGCTATCTGAAATGGCAGTTTATTTAAAAAAAAACAAACAAAAAAACAAAAACCACCCCCCCAACTATCACTTCTTCCTCTCCTCTGTAACTCTTCAGTGGACACAAACAGCTCCCGAGTCAGGTAAGAATAAAAGATGCCATAAGAACAAATTCTGTGATAGCAAACATCATAACGCAATGTGAGCTGTTACAGTGCAGTGGTTGTCATGAAGTTCACAATAGGACACTCTTAGCCCCCAAACCAGACGAACTGGAAGCACCCGCACTCCCAAGCCCGGAGGACCAGCAGCCACCACAGCAGGGGACAGCAGGATAAGGCTTTTCTGGCAGCGTCTCTGTGCCCAGGCCCAGCCAGTGGTCACTTTGACTCTTGGTCTTTCGTTTCATCTAACAGGGCGGAGCGAATCCCCAGCTTTTTCAGTTCTTCCACCAGGTCCCCATTCTGGTGCATCTGCAGAAGGATGTCACAGCCCCCCACAAACTCGCCGTTGAGGTACACCTGTGGGATGGTGGGCCAGTTGGAGTAGTCTTTAATGCCTGGGGACGGAACAGAGCTGTGTTACTGAGGCAGTCACATGGATAAGCAAAGTAAACACGACCCTCTCCATTGCCCAACAGCAAGCCCGCCATCCCTCCCCGCTGCCCCACTCCTGGAAGCAAAGGGTTTTAGCCTCAAACCGACAGGTGAGTGACTCTGGCCACTGTAAACCCCAGGGCCTCAGTCACTTGTCCGCCACTGGTGATCCCCACTCACTAGTTTTCCTAAGAGCTGGGCTAGGAGGGCTCAGCACCACGGTGTGCTCCCTTCTGACAGAAGGGAACCTGGACACTCCCAGAGGCACAAAGCCACAACCTTCCCAGGCACGGTCATGTTCTCAGGGAAGCAAAGGAGGCCCAGGCCACCATGTCCCCACCTCCCCGGATGGCGCCACAGGTCCTCAAGATGTTGCGCTGCTGGCTTTTATCTTTAACAGTGACGCCCTGAGAAACGCCCTGTGCTACCACTGACCACACACGGGATGCTTTTCTATACAGACAGGTATTTTAAAGTACCACAATGAGCACACAGATAAAGCATAAACAGGTTCTTCAAGCAAAATACACTCATGTAAATAAGCCAGCCAAGTGGGTGACTTTTATGTGGATATTCTTGATCTCTATAATTCATTACAATTTATTTTCCAAATAAAATTTCCAAGTATCACAAGTAACAGCAGCAATTTACAATGTGTTTCTCTCTCTCTCTCTCTCTCTCTCTCTCTCTCTCTCTCTCTCTCTAATGTATTTGGTACAGGGTCTACAAAGTCTACAGGGTCTCACTACACAGACTGGACTCCTAGTGATTCTCCTGTTTTCAGCCTCTCAAGCACTGGAATTACACGTGCACGCCACCACGCCCAGTCTCAATTGAGGTCTCAGCACGCCCCAGGGGCTGGGCCTGCACCACACGCTGGGGATTGAACCCCAGCCGCTGCCTCTGCCTAAGCAGGCACTTTAGTCTGCTGAGCTATCAGGCCGGCCCATGTTTTTCTCTTAAATGTTATTGCTATCTATAAACATAGCGACTATGCTCTAAATGATAGGGCTAGAGAAAGCTCCTGAGCCACTGGCTTTATCTTTCTCATCCAGACATCATACTTTAAGAAATGGCCAGGCCCAGGCGTGAGGGCCCCGCCTATGACGCAGCACTGGGTGGTTGAGGCAGGAAGACCTCGGGTTCAAGGCCAGCCAGGGCTATAGTGAGACCCTGTTCCTTCTCCTCACAAAAACAAAGAAGAGGTCACAGCCAGGACTGGGGACGGAGCTCAATGCTAGAGTTTGGGTAATGAGAGCATGAGCAGGCTCTGGGTTCGAGCCCCAGGAGGGACGGAGGGAGGGATGAAGGGAGGGAGGGACGAAGGGAGGGAGGGATGAAGGGAGGGAGGGAAGGCCACAGCACCACCAGCCTCCAAAAGCACACTTCTCAGGCCCTCTGTGTATCTGCTGAAAGAAAGAAAGAAAGAAAGAAAGAAAGAAAGAAAGAAAGAAAGGAAAGGAAAAGAAAAGAAAAGAAAAGAAAAGAAAAGAAAAGAAAAGAAAAGAAGAGGAAAGAAAAGAAACCAACTGGAAGCTGCTGATGAAGAGTAAATTCTAATTCTGGAAACAACTTTCACCACAACCCTTGCTGAATTCAAGTTTTTCACCCTTCTGACGCGCAGTGCTACAGAAACAAAACTTGCTGCACACAGGTTATACGCGTCGTCTTCTTTTCTCTTTGGGGGGCGGGGGTGACAGGGGTCCTCGGGACTGGACCCAAGGCCTCTGCACTGAGGACATCCCCAGCCCGGCTTTCATGTTCACAGTCTCGTTCAATTGGCAGGCTGCCTGCGAAGGGCTGGAGGCGTCTCACAAAGCAGGGCGCTTACTTTACACCAATGCCTGGTACAAGCCTCTCCTGCCCAGACAAGTGCAGGTGTTGAAAGAGTTGCTCTTTTTAATTCTATCAGACCTGAGCTTTCCTAAATATCTTTGTACAGGGGGGTGTTTTACGTGCACACATGCTGTATCTATTTCTTTTAATCAGTAATACAGCCCGCCACAATAAATTTCTGCCAACCATTTTTGGTTTGTGCTACAATTTTTTTTTTTTTTTCCCCTGTCTTTTTGAGACAGGGTCTCGCTATTCAGTTCAGGCTGGCCTTGAGCTCACTTTGTAGCCCAGGCTGTTCTCAAGCTCTCAACGATCTTCCCATCTTCCCGCCTCAGCCTCCCGCCTTGGCCTCTAGAGTGCTGGGATTACAGGCGTGCCCCACCTGCCCAGCTGTGCTACAGCAGTGACGAACCACAGAAGAGAAAGGGACATGGTGGCTGGCAGAGGGCTCTGACTGAAAGGTGGCAGCCCCCCTTGCCAGCTGGTAAAGGCCTCTTGTAATCCCAGCCTGTTTTCTCACCTGCAAAATGAGCCCAACGAACATTACCCCAGAGATTTCCTATGAAGGTTAAATGCGATCAAACTGACGAAGTGATTTTCAGCTCCTCACAGCGCAGCCCCAATGTGGACGTTAGCTCCACGCCCATATCCTCTGCCACACTCCCCAGCAAGGCCTGGAGAAGCACAGAGAAAACCCGCAGGAGCTCTGCAAGCTGAGTGTGCCACACACTCCCACAGGTTCCACTCGCTGAGCTACGGGTCAGGGTCCCTGGGTTTTCTATCTGTGAAGTATTTTCTGCAAAACTCTTCTCCAGTCACACAAGGTAGGTAGAATTACCCACTTTACAGAAGCAGCTTAGGCCCAGAGAGGTCAAGCAGCCCCTACCCAAAGCCCCGGTGTTGGCATGGGGTGCAGCCAGGCTTTACATCCGGGCTCCGAGTCACAGGCTAGCTAGGTCCCTCACCACGGGCAGCCTACAGATTACAGGCCTCCTGCACCACACAAGGGCCTGCAAAGTACGGGGCTGTCTTCTGTCAGGAACATATACGGACACAAATGGCATTTACACATTAGGCCATAATTACTCCTTGTAACTTGTTTTTTGTTTGTTTTTAAATAGGGCCTCGCACTGGACTCTTTTAGAATATTTTGCTGAGTTTACACACCTATAATATTCAATAACGGAACTTAGGAAAAATGGGGTATAACTATGAATGTCCATTTTGTGTCTGTGTATTCAAAGTGGTTGGGATAGATATATAGTTGCATTCTCTTAATAAATAGAATGATTTGTTCTAATGGTGTTTGTAAATAGTATCACAAGTCCGCATCTTGTACAGCAATTAACCACTAAGAAGAATATATGCAGTGTATTATTTGTTGAAACTGTACTTCCGATTGGATTTGAAACTGTCTCATTGCTATCTGTTTATCAATAAAACTTTGAAAAAAATAAAAATAAAAATAAATAAATAAATAGGGCCTCGCTACACAGTCAGGCTGGTGCCCAGTTTATGACCTTCCTGCCTCAGCCACCCAAGCGCTGGCTGCGTTTATAGGAGCGAAGCCACTACGCCTAGCTTGCAAGTTACTTTTTGACTAAACACTGTTTTTCTGAGATTTAGCCATTTTAGATCATTGGAACTAAAATTTAGTTTTCTACACTTACACTCTGCTTACCCAGGGCGCTACTAACAGACCACAATCCCACTGGTCAGCCTTCCACCCATATGAATCATACTATAGTGATCAAGTTGCACAGGCTCCTGACACACGTGTGCAGAGGTCCTTCTCTTCAATCTGGAGGTGGCAAACCATAGCCTCGAGTGCATACGGTAGACGCACACTGAAATGTCACACTGTGCCCTACACGTATGGATGACCATAAGCAACTAGAAATTTAGAAATAAATGAAAAAATAATAGGATAGCAGTTATTCACTAAACACGGATTTAAATCCCTATTCTGTCAGACACTGTTCCTCACAGCGATCATTTTTAAACCAGTAGAACTCTTAAAATGTATATTAGCACAGAAGAGCTCAAAACATGATGATAAATAAAAGAAGCCTTTTTTTATTCATTAAGACATTCCTTGAAATCCTATGACTTGGGAGGCTTAGGCAGGAGAATCAAGAGTTCAAGGCCAGGGGGCTGGGGAGATGGCTCAGTGGAATGAGCGCTTCCCTGGCAAGTGCAAGGGCCTGAGTTCAATCCCCGGTTCTGCAAAAAAAAAAAAAAAAAAGAGTTCAAGGCCAACCTGGCCTACCTATGGAGACCCTGTCTCAAAACAAAGGAACTTTTCATGGAAAGCCTGCTTTGCGCAAGCCTCGAACGTGTGTCACAGGCAGTTGCATAAGCCCTGCTATCCGGAGGACAAACACCTGGCACACCAGGCACAGGCAAGCAGATCTCAATTACAGGAACAAAGGCAGCGGCTGGAGGCGCTTGGTGCTCTGGCATTTCTCCACGATCCGATCAGAGTCTGGCAGGAGGCTCTCTGGGCAGAGTACACAGCAGATACAAAGGAAGGTAAGAAGGCTGCTGCACTCCATACACCTAGACCCCAGGGGCTGGGCTTCCGACCCTCTAAGGCTCACCTTCTCCGGCCCCAGGAAAAAGGAAGGGTCAATTCTTTGGGAGCCCTGCTGCTGCGACTCAGGGACAGGGCTAGGAAAGGTGAGCAGTCTGCCCAAAGCAAGCACACAGCAGCCCATCAGCACAGAGCAGCCCATCAGCCGCAAAGGAATGAAGTCTTCCAGCTATGAAGTGTGCTGTGGCTAAGGCAGGGCCTACTGTGGGAAACACTTACGCAGCTGGGCCCCCTTCTGACTGTGACGTTAATCTTCACTCTTCCAAGCAACACACCCTGCGCTCTGGCAGGCTGAGGCAGAAGGACTGCGGGTTTGAGCCCCGCCTGGGCAATTCAGCAATTTGGTGAGCTCCTGTCTCAAAATATTTTTAAGAGGCTAGGGATGTAGCTCTGTGGGAAGGCCCTGCAATGAATCCTCAGTACTGTATTGCAAAAACTAAGGTGTATACTACACTCAACATTTAAGAACATATTTATTAACCAAAATAATCCAATCAGGCAAAATCTAACAGTAAAGCAATATAAGGGTTAAATTCCTCCTGCTACTGTTTAAATGCTCAAGGACACAGATCAGAGGCCATGTCACATGAAAAACAGAAACATGAGCGTTGCTAGTAATCAGCTTATTTCTGCTGCCACCTTCAGCTTATTAGCCCTGTTCAGGGTGTCTCATGTCCAGTTTATACCTAAGCAGAAGAAATAAATTCACATACCAAAGGTTCTCGAAACATTGTACTAAGCAAGATGTCAGCACCACTAATTTTTTGTTAATGGTTATACCGGGAATTTGTGTGCGACCCACAGCAAGATTCGGCTGAGAGACTGCAACTACCCTTATCTTTGAAGGCAAGAAGCTGCTGCCGAGTGACCACAGAGACCTCTGTGCGTGATAAAGCCAAGCTTTGAAACCAGCGAACTCCGGCTGCACGGGAAGAACCGTTATGAGTGGAACATGTTTAAATGGCATAAACCTTCTCTCCTCCACTTAATGTGCCTCCTGTGCTCCACCCCCTAAAACCACTGCCCGGAGCAAAGTGAGGATTGGCAACCACGGAGTTTTGTAAGACTCAGAAATTATAGCAGACGCAGACTTTGAAAACCAAACAGTGACAGTAAAATAGCTACCATTTACTGGGTACTTTCTGCGCCAGATGAGAGGATATGTACTGTCTTTATATTTTAATTTTCTCCTTCCCTCCAAAAACTGTGCCAAGGACGCTGGCTAGTAATTTCCAATCCGAGTAACAGTCCCTACAACCACAGAACCTGGAGTCCGGGCACCGTAACCCGGCAGACATGGGGGACCCTGTCCTCTTCCCATTTCTCCACCTACCCCAACCAAGCCTGGCAGAGAAGCACAGGATCCTCCTGTCCCTGGCCATTTCTCCCTACCCCCACGGAAGAGAGAACACTAGGAAGGTACAGTGCTTAAACATGCCAAAGTCCTGCCAGGCCCCCTCTTTCCCTCCACTTGGGGGCCTGCCCCTTAGCTCAGTTCTTTAAGTGGCTGCTTCAACAAAGCAGTCAGGCTCAGGTTGCTGTGGTTCGATCCCCACAACTCAAGCCGGCCAAACCTGCCCTGAAGGCATTCTGAGCGAGCCAAAAAAAAACCCTTCTCCCTCCACTCGCTTCTCAGGCTCCTGCCCGCTCCGGCTCCAAAGCCTGGCGAAGAGAGTTCTCCTGGGTCCCAGAAGCCCCTTCAGGCCCCGGACCCCCACTTTGCTCCGGGTGCACGAGCATCTAAAACCAAAGGTTCTGCCCTCGAGCCACTACAAGCACAGGCCCCAGGCATGACAGGCTGGACGGAAGGGCCGCCGCTCTCAAAAACAGGCCAATCGCTTTCCAGCCCGAGTATTCCCGAAGTATCTACCTCGTAGGGAGAACCACTGTGAGCTTTGCTCCCACTTCCCCAGCCCTACAAGGCAGGGAGACACGCTGCTGGCCACCCTCCTCGGCCCCACTCGAGACAACCGCCCCGAAATGTCCACTTCACCAGGAAGAGGTCAGGGAGCCCCTAGGACGGAACCACAACCCAAGCAGGGCTCCAGCCCCTCAAGATTCGTTCAACTTTTGACTCCCTCGCCCTATCCTCTGCCCAGAGCAAATCTCCAAGCCCTAACGTTAACTGGAGCCCGGGGACCCAGGCGACCCCGAAGTGCGGCGCAGCAGGACCCTCGCCCGCGGCCTGACCTTGCCGGAGGTCAGGGTCGTCCAGCACGTTGTAGGCCGCGTAGTCGCGGACGCCGTGCAGCCGCAGGATCTGCACCACGGCGTTGCTGAAGCCACACTGGGGTTGCTCCGGCGTCCCCTTGAGGAAGACCACCACCTTGTCCTTCTTAACCAGCGCGTCCAGCTGCTCCGCCTGGCCACCGCCAGCGCCCGAGCCCGCCGCCCGCACGCCTGCACCCTGCAGGCCGACGCCGCCGGGGCCACGGCCCCAGCGGAGCAGAGCCGCCGCCGTGCGGCGCAGCGCCCCACTCATCACCGCTCGCCCGAAGGAGCCCCCGAGTGCCCGGAACCTGTGCGCCCTCCAGGAGCCGCGTCCAGGCCCCTGGCGGCCCGGCCCGCCCCCCGGAGGCTTTCATTGGGCTAGCTCCAGGCTGCTCTCCGTGACTGGACAACTGCAAGCACTCGCTGCTACCAATCAGGTTGCTTATTTCTGCTGGTGGGCGGTAGCTGCCCGGCCCGCCTCCCGCATGCATTCCATTGGCCGTCTGCACCCGCTTTGTCAGTTGATTGGAGAAGTGAATGTTCATCAGCGTCCACGCCGAGGGCATAGAGAGCTGGAACTCCGGCCAGACGACTTTCCTCCCGAGAGCGGACGCGGCCAGCTAGGCTGCTCCCGGACACCGAGCCAAGGCGCTGGGCGGGGCTCCGCCGTTCCGAGGCACGCCGGGACGGGGTCGCTTCAGGGGGAGGTTCCGCTTCCTGTGCCGCCGGCGGTCTGCGAAGTAGGACGCCGGCGCTTCCCAGGGTGCGCGAACTTCCTCGGTCTCCGGTGTTTGGGGCTGGGGAGACCGCGGGCTGCTGCGTCGTCCCGCCGCGCACGTGGGGGCTGGGGATCAGGCCGCGCGGCTGGACAGCCAAGGGCGGTTTCTATGCATCTTAGTAATGTGGCACGTGCTCCCGTGTGACCTCTGGGTTTCGGTCCTCGCGGCCCTCCAGTCCACCTGTGCCCACGCGCCGGGTCGCAGGAAAGGTTTGTTGCACCAAGGACTGCAGGCCGGGCACAGGAGGGAGACGCACATGCAGTCTCAGCGCCGAAGCTGAGGCAGGAGGATCGCTTGAACTAGGAAGTCGTGAACCAGCCCGGGGGTGTGGGAGAACGTGAAAAGAGAAAACAGCAAATGCAGAACCGCATCGTGTCAGCAGGGAATGTCCTGGGAGTCTGGGCGCCCAAAGCTTGTCCCTAGCGTGAGAAGCGGGTGGCAGATAGCCGGCTGGGGCCCTTAGGAAGCAGAGCAAGCCTCCTATCTGCTCTCCTCGCCTTTGTGCAGATCGTCGCTTGAGATCTCGTCGCAGGCTAGCGCAGTGCATAGCACCTGCTCGGTGGCTCCGTGTTGACACGGATGAATCCGAAGAGCAGGACTCATCCGCCCAGCGCTGTCTGCTCTGCAGTTTGGGGCCGCGCGGGGTTGGCGGTACCCTGGAGCGCACCAGACGGGCAGAGAAAGCATACTCCAGAGGAAGCTGAGGCATGGCCGCTCGAGGGCCAGCGGTGCCGTGTGCAATGTTCCTCTGATACGGTACTGTTGCCACGGTGGTAATGGCTGTGCCGTGTCATTATCGATCCACCAACAGTAAGAGAAACTGCAGTCGAGATATTGTTTAGCAGACAGAGCGCGTTCTGTTGGACACTAAGTACTGCTACAAATGAGCTTTTTTTTTTTTTTTTTAAATATTGAGTTGTTAAAAAAAGTACTTGAGATGTTAGACATGGTGGTCTGTAACGGTAGTCCCACCAGGCTGGGAGCCTGAGCTAGGAGAATTGAGAGTTTGAGACTGGCTTGGGCGTTTTCTTAGCAAGACAATGGCCCAAAGTAAATAAAAAGGGCCAAGTATGTCGCTCAGTACCGAGGCCTTTGGGTCAGTCCCCAGAACTGCGGAATGAACAGACTGTCAGCTGGAGCTCTTCATTGCCAGCTCTTACCCCAACCGGGTTTATTAATGTGTAGTGATTTTCTGACACGCCACATAAAGTTAGAATCCTTTTGTTTTGCAGACCCATTGATTCCAGGGAATCAGGAGCAAGCTTGCATCATGAGACGCGGCTCGTGGAAAATGCCACCATACACTGCAGCAGCTGCTTACTTAGAAGCTATTGATGTGATACCCTTAATTATAAAGAATATATCAAATTCCTCCCCAAAGCATCTGTTACGCTCACACTGGAGTAAGTGCCTTTTTAAAAGAATAAATATGGGGCCAGGGAGATGGCTTAGTAGAATAAGCGCTTCCCCATCAAGCGCAAGGACCTGAGTTCAATCCCCAGTTCCACCAAAAAATAAAAATAAAAAATACGACAATTTCTAAAAACCTACATTGTTTGTTGGCTTTGTTTGCTTTTGTATGGCCAGGGAGAGAATTCACAAACTTGGAGGATCTGGGAGAGGTAAGCCAGTGTATCATACGGGCTTTACAAGTACAGGTGGCTTATTTAGTATTCAATTTTGTTGTTTTGTTTTTCCCCCTTTGGAGACAAGGTCTTTCAATGCAGTTCGGGCTGGCCTTGAGCTCACGTTGTAGTCCATACTGGTCTTGAACTCAAGGATCCTCCTGATACAGGGAGAAAAACTGGTCTCACGTGGGTGACCTCCAAACTATATAGGGAACCTCCAAATGACATAGAGAAAAACAATCTCCCCACCTGACCTGCACGAGTTCATGTTCTCTAAAACCGAAGAATAAATTTTAGCAAAAAACGGAGGTTATGAACAGAATATATTTATTGAGAGAAAGAAAGCTTGTGTCCAAGAGAAGGACAGGAGGGGGGCCTAAGCAAGTAGTTCCCCAGGAAGCTGTCTCTTCCAGGAACTTCTATAGTGTAAAACCTTGTGGGGCTAAGGTGGAGAGAATGGGAACTCGCTTAGGTGGGCAGGAGGTGGGACAAAACTATGGTCAACCAATAGGATTACAAGCACCATTGCTCAGGTAAAACTGATTAAATCCAGTATCAAATGGGAAAGCGAGTCACATAGCAAGCAGGCATGAATATGGGACAGGGTCTTTTCCTGTTGGGGGGTTGGAATCCGGGACAGGGTCTCTTTCTGTTGGGGGTTGGGCTAGTGACTCACTTGGGTCTTTCCAGGTGATAGATACCTATTTAGAATATCAGTCCCAGGTGCTACTCTTAGCATTTGTTTGGCCTTTAGGTCTTTAGGTCTGCTTCACCGCAGGATCATCTGCCCCTCCCACAGTTGTAAGGCATCTCATCTGTGCTGTCTGCTACGAGGGCCTGGCCCTGTCTGACTGCCTATAATATTTCTATCTAATTTGGTTACCTATAACACTCCTGCCTCAGCCTCCTGAGCGCTGGGATTACAGGAATGTGCCACCATGCCCAGTTTTTAAATGTTTTATTAAGGTGACAATACAGCTATGTGAAAAAGCGAGAGTAACCCCTGAGCAGGAAGAGTACAAGCCAGTTTTTCAAAGAGTGGGGCCACGGGGAGCGGTGGGAGTGCCTTCCCCGGGACAAGGAGGTGGCTCTGATAGCAAGACCAAGGCAGGAACGCAGCCCACATGTCTCAGCCAAAGAAGCTGAAACGACCAGTCTGACACTTCGAGGGCTCGGATGTTGCTGACTGGGTGAGCACGTGTCTAGCATGCACAGGCACCAAGCAGGTTCTAGTTTTGATACAGTGTGGTTCCTGGAGGATTCGGACCCCAGAGCGATGGTCTCCAGCTGCAAAGAAAATAGCTCTCAGAGGGCTGGTGAGATGGCTCAGTGGTCTAAAGCACCTACTTAGAACAAGCTCAGCAAAGCAGAGGGACTGCGGTTTAATCCCCCAGCACCACGTGCCAGCCAGCCCCGCCCCCTGGTGGGCTGAGCTGGCCACACACACACAATAAATAAATAAATATTTTAAAAAAGAAAATAGCACTCAGTATTTTTTTCCAGAGTATTAAACTTTGACATGACTCGGTGTTGAGATTCTTCTTTAACTCTTAATGTTGAAAGCAAAACAAAATAACTCCTAAAACAGTAGTCAGAGATCTGCACCTGGGCTGCAGCCTCCTGCCTGTTAGTGCTGTGCCTGGGTTTGTCATGTCTCTGGGGACAAAAAGTTGGGTGGGGAATAAGACATCTACAGAAACTGTGAATCCTACAGCTGGTGTCACAACTTCCAAAAGAACTAAATCCCAAACTAGTCACACCTTACGATCACACAGAGTCAGGCAGCCTAAAAATGTTGTCCTCAGGGCCGGGTATATAGTTCAGTGGCACACGCCTGCCTGGCAAGTGCAAGGTCCGAAGTTCAATTTCCAGTAGTGGAAAAAACATTTTTTCTTACCTAGAGCTAAGGTGTCACAGTATTAAGAACCCTCCCATTCACCCACCTTTCCAAAAATGAATTCAGGCCGGCTAAATAGCTCAGCGGATTAAAGTGCCTGCTCAGGCAGATGCAGCGGCCGACTGGGGTTCGATCCCCAGTGCCAAGCCTGGTGCGCTGAGAGGGCGATTGAGACTAGGCGTGGTGGCACGCGCCTGTAATCCCAGCTCTTGGGAGGCAGACCATCCAGTGTGCATAGTGAGGCCCTGTAGACCCCGTACTAAAATTTAAAAAAAAAAGTAAATTCACCAAGTCCATCAGCAGAACACTTGTAGTTGGAGGGGGGCTCTTCCTCTCTCTCCCCCCGAGCTGAGGATCCACGAGAAGCTGTCGAGCCGGGTGTCCCCTCCACACCCTCAGCAAGGCACTGTTCCCTGCCCTGCCCTCCTCTCAGGGCTGCATTCTTCTTCCTCACCCCTGAGCGGCTTTTAGAAGATGAGAGGGTGTTTCCCAAGTCCCTGCCTGGTACGGAACTGTCTGTCCTGGCGCAAGTGTTGTGAGAGAGAAGTGGGTGCTTGGGTTACAGAAGGCGGAACCACCACGCATTCCTGAGCTAAAATAGAGTTTGGGCCTCAGAGCTGCAACTGCAGCCTTCCCGGGTGGAGCCTTCGCCCCTACTGCCCTACAGCAGTCACTCCCTGCAGCCCTAGGACAGCGTGATGGTAAGAAAGGGCAGAGCCCAGCCCTCCGGGCATCTGACCCCCAGGCCGCGCTGGTAGCGCCTCTCGCCTCTCGGATTCCAGCTTCCTGTCTGAGGGCAGCTGGGTCGGGAATGATTGGCTTTGCTGATCCTGTTGCTCACTAGGGCCAGCCTCCTGCCTGCCTGGAGTGGGTTTGCCCGCTGTGAAGGGATGGGTGTGGTGAATCCAGAGCAGACCCCAGGAAGTGGGGGAGCAAGCTCCGGGTGCCTGAAAACGGGAGGATCCTGGCTATGCCCTAGGATTGGGAACAGGGGGTTCCGGCAGGCCCAAAGGATCGTCAAATACAAGTAAGTTTTGGCTCACCTCAGATTTTTCCCCACACTTCCAGGGCCGGCTCTATTTGTGGTGCTGGGTATCGAACCCCGGTCCCTGCACTCTGCCTAAGCAGGCACTTTAATCCACTGAGCTATCTGGCCTGCCCCATCCCTTCATGGATTTTTAAAATCATCTTGTGATGTCTATTAGAGGTTACGCCTATTTCAAGACTTATATGCCTAGCAAGCGCAGGGTCCCGAGTTCAGTCTCTGGATACCGCAAAAACAAACAAAAGAATTATAACACGAGGACTGCAGAGCTGAGAGAGCCGGTCTGCACTCTTGCTGTGCTCCAGAATGATTCCCCCAGTACCGTGGACAGCCAAGTCAGGCAGAGATTCAGCCAGGCAGGCAGGCAGGGCTGGGATCTCCGGAGGTCAGCGCAGATGACAGCTGTGGCTGGAGGTGCATTCCTGGAGGCCAGGCTTCAAGAGAAGGAACTGCTCACCGGTGTGCTTCCGCTGCGGATGCGCCGCGGCGGCTGATGTCCTAAGATGGCATCAGTCACCTTGGGCCGGGGCCCAGAGCCCCTTACCCACCGCTTTGGGGAGAAGTCCTTGCTTAGCCCGAGTACACTGGCTCCAACCCTTGCTCCCTATTTGAGCCCCTTTAAATCAGTATCACCCCACCGACTACGCCTGTAACCTTATTGCCTCACCTGCTCCCCACCTTGTGAGTTCTCTCTCTCTTTTTTTTTTTAAATTGTTTTGTAATTAATTAGTTATCTGGTACCGGGTCTCACTACACAGCTCAGGTGGACTCGTAGTGGTCCTCCTCTTTTCAGCCTCCCCAGCGCTGGGATTACAGGTGTGCACCCACCACGCCTAGTTTCAGTGGCTGGCTCAGTGTACCCAGGGGCAGGGCTAGTACAGCATGTGGTACTGAGGACTGAACTCCACTCCCTGTGCTTGCCTAAGCAGGGGCTTAGTATGCTGAGCTATCTTGCTGGCCCTTTACACTTGTAATCTTTTTAGTTGATTATAATTCTGCTGTTCGACACAACTCTGTGTATATAAATCCACTTGAACCTGACATTAACCCGGGGATAACGGTTCTCAGACATTTTGCTCCCCAGATTATGATCCCTTTAATACTTAACATCCCCCCTTCTTCTTCCTTCTTTCTCCCCCTCCCCCTCTTTTCCGTCTCCTCTTTTTTTTTAATACCAGGGATCAAACTTAGGACTTTGCACTTGCAGGTGCTTATGCTGCTGAACTATCTCTCTGGCCTGATACTTAACATCTTTTTTTTTTTTTTTTTTGGTGGAACTGGGGCTTGAACTTAGGCCCTTGTGCTGGTCAGGCAA